GATACCAACAAGGGCTCTTGGTGGTGAAAAGTTGGGGAGACTGATTGATTTCAACAGCCACATATAATTGATAAGGAAACCAAGGCCTGTATGTTACCTAGTATGAACATCAGGCAGTCAGAAGAGAAAGCTGTTTTCCAGCAGCAAGATGTGTAGGAATTCTGGATGGAGATCTTGGGGAACAGCTTCAATAAAGGGCCTTAACTGAGGGAGTGTGCAGAGGTGCTAGGCTATCTGAAACATGTGAGATGCCAAATACAAACTTCCCAACTTCCCTGGGTTCTCATCCTGTCTTTTTTTCCAGAATCTGAAAAAATCAACAGATGTGGACTCAAGGCTGGTCTGGGCCAGGCACTGGGCTGGGGGGAAGAGGGTAGATAAGTCCCAGTTCTGCCTCATGGGCTCACTCTGACTTTCAGTCTCCTTCTCATGAAGGCAATGAATTTGATCATCTCTGAGATCCTATTCAGCTTGGAGGGTCTTGTCTTCCAGAGTGGATGCACTCGAGGCCAACAGGGTAATTTTCTAGCTGTACTTCTGACCCTCAGCCTGGCTGGGCAGGGTTTGGGTAGGAGGTGGCAGGATGGGGCATGGAACCATAGACCAGGATCTGGCCTGGCTTTCCCTTTGCACAAGAGCCCCCAGGGAGGCTCAGAGTTGGTGTGGTGGCATGGGACTCTTCCTTAGACAAGACAGTATTCTGCTTCCTGTGTGTGATGGGAGCCACAGAACCCCGAGCCACCAGGACCCCTCACTCATTTGTCCAAGAGTATTCATAGAATACTTCTATTCTGTGCCAGGTACTGAGCTAGGGATACTGGGGCAACCAAGACAGATAAGGTCCCTGTTCTCATGAAGTTTCTAGTCTAACTTGGGGAGACAGACAGTAAATAAGTGGACAAATAAACACATCTAGATGCAAGCATGAGTGTCCCTGCGTGACCACTGCCTTGGAGCTGCCCAAGAGCAGAGAACAGGTCACAGGCTCCTGTGTGTCCCTGGAGCCCACTCCCAGGGCTGGCTCAGAGTTGGCCCCCACTCAGCAAACATTTGGTGAATTGCCTGGCATGAGAGAGAAAGCATACGGAAGGTGCCCAGTCCTTTTGGTTCTGTCCATGGTAGAAGCCAGCATGTACACACAAGCATCTCATTTCAATTAAACAACATTTATCGAGGGCCCATCTATGCACCAGCAGGGTCCTAAGCCCTGAGAATCTAGACATGACTAAAATCAGATCCCTGGCTCCCTCAGCTGACAGCGCAGGGCAGAGGCAGGCATGTGAGCTAACCCGGAGCCCCACGGTGCTAGGATGGTGGTGGCTGTTGGTGCGCCCAGTTCCCACCAGGGCAGGATAGGTAGTCTGGGGAGGGAACACAGCAGGAGGGAAGGACAAGGACGAGGAAGGAGTCACAAATTTATACCCAAATCCACACAGATGGATAAACAGGTGCCCCCAGAGACACACACAGACACAGAGACTCACAGGTGTGTACACTGACTGCCTAAGCAAGTGTAGACATAAATACCCCTGTAGGCTCAGATGCTACACAGGCCATCGTGATTAAGGCCCGTTCGTGGTGCACCAAAATGGGGAGATGTGTGGGTGAGAGAATGGCCACATGGGGGGCTTGGCACACGGGCACCCTGGGAATCGCCAGACCGTGGCCAGGGGACACCTTGAGGTGGGCGGAGCTGTAAGTCTAAACCTGAGAAGTTAGGCTGATTATTGTCTTGCTGTGCATGTCCATCACCAGAGACAGCCAATCAGCGACACACACAGACCTTCAGATCAGAGGCCAGAAGGTAGGGAATTTGACAGAAAGTTTCACTGTTAGTACTTGTGCTTACTGAGGGGTTTGAACCTGGTCGGGTCAGGACAGCGAGCTGGAGGAGGGGGAGATGTACTAGGCCTTCAGGGCAGAACTGTATCCTGTAGAAGCTGCCTGCTTCCCCATCTGGATTTTTTGCCATCAGGAGCTAACAAATGGAAGGTGTTTGGAACACACAGCTCTTGGCACATGGTAGCCCCTCAGTGAGTGGTCATCTTCCGTCCCCCCAAACCATGGGAAAAGTCTGGCCTGTTCAGCTGTGACGAGGGGAACCAGGGAGACAGCCTGGAGGAGGTGGCAGGAGGGTGAACCTGGGGACGTGAGGTCACGTGCCCCATGTGAACGCCAGCCCTCCTCTCCTGCACAGGGCCCGGCCTTTGTTCATCAAGAGAGATGGATCCCTCCTCCAGAGATGCCTTCTGCTGAAACCTTTGAGGGTCTTGTGTATTCTTTTCGTAAGAGATACTATTTCTTTGTAGTAATAATAGCTCTTACAGTGCTTTCTACCTGCCAGGAACTGTTCTATCTGCTTCATCTATAACTAATTTAATCCTCTTAACAGTCCTATGAAGTAGGGGCATTATTATTCCCATATTACAGATGGAGGAACTGAGTCCCCAAGGGGTTTAGTAAATTGTGCAAGGTCATACAGTGAATAAGTAGTGGAAGCAGGATGGCACTAGACTCCATTCTCTGACCACTGGGCTCTGCCACCTTTCTGGAAAGATCTGGTTCTTTCTCCTTCGCCCTCACTGATACACCATGGGGCCCTGGATAAGTCCCTGCCCCTCTCTGTCTCTACTTCTTTCTCTGGGAAGCTAAAGTCCTGTCATCTGGGGGCTTCCCAGGGCTGTTGTAAGGCCAAGCTGACTGTCCATATCCATGCACAGGCTACACTGGGAGAAAATGGGCCCCGGTGCAGCCTTCTGGAGAGCAGATATCTCGAGGTGGGTGCTCTGCATCTTGCCCCCTAGAGCAGGGCAGGGTGGTCAGTCCTCTCTGAGCCCCACCAGCAGACCCGCAGTTGGACTCACAGGCCCCTTGAGGCCTCCTAGGAGGACCGGGGTTGGAGACACTAATGAGGATGCCAGGAGAGAAAACCCTTCCTCTTAAAGTAAACTCACACAGAGAAAATCATAAACTGAGCACGCAATTTGCACCCCGGCCAAGGCCCTCAGAGCTTAAACATATTCTTTTGGGCTATTTATAGTCCTGGAGAAGTTAGAATTTTCTGGATAATGGGAGCGCTAACAGATTCCAGCTGGTCAGGGTCTGCCAAGGACTGGCAGGGGAAAGAGTGGGAACCATGGAACCTTCTGGTACAGGACTCTGCACTTCCCAGACCCTCCTCCCTGACCCAGCCTGTGCAGGTGGGACAGGAGACAAGGGCTAGAGAAGAGCCTCTTCACCAAGGGCCATAATAAGGTCTCTCTGTGACCTAAATGGGGGTGAGGCCAGTTGCCCGGGCTCCCCTACTTCAAGGCTTTCGTTTCACAGATGCTGGAAGTGAGGCTCAGAGAGGGGCAGTAATCTATCCAGCTAGTGGGGCCCAGGCAAGCTCTGGTATCCTGGCCCATGCATCAGCATTCCTGTAGTAAACCTCAGAGCAAGACCTGAGAAGCTGGCTGGAGATGGTCCCTAGCGGGAGACAGTGGGAATTCAACATCCAGTGACCATATAGACAGCCCCAGCGTGGGTTCCTGGGTGGGGAAGCCACGTCCTGGGTACTCTGAGAAGAGAGTACCTGGCATTCAAGGCTACCAACACCTCTTAAATATCTCCCTTGCCCCTCCCTACACAAACTCCCCCTCCTGCTACCCCTAGAACATTCCCAACTCTCATATTCCTCTGTACTCTTGTCCACACTCTTCCCACCTGGATAGCCTTTACCCCACTTTCTCTGATTAAATGCTCCCACCCCTGAAGGCCTCTCAAGTTCCCATTCCTGGTGGCTCTGTGACTTGTCCTCACTCTGAACTCCTCACTGGAGCTGAGAGCCCACCCAAGGAGGCCTGGTATAGTGGATCCTGTAGGGTGTCACCCAGATTCACGATTCAGGATGGATGAAGGCACTCCTTCCATCTCAGAGAATGCTTTCCAGGAAAGCTGGTTTATGACACCTGGTGACAGAATGGTTAAGCAGACAGCCTTGGTTCAAACAGAGATCAGCCATGTTTAGCTCCATGACCTGGGCTGAATTCCGTAACTTCTCTGACAATTGTTCTATCTATTAAGTGGGAATAACACTGAGGCATTAGTTCCTGTCTGCTGAAGGTTTATGAGGATTAAATGAGATGATGTTTGCATGGTGCTGGATATTGAGAAAGGACTTAATGGGCATTAGCTATTATAATTTACATTTAACTTCTCTGAGGTTCAGGGATAGGATATTATTATCTGCGTCAAGGGGTTGCTGGTGAGAATCAAATAAGATTGGTTGAGAGGCAGAGGGTTAAATTCCATGCTGCGGTGACCTAATACAGATTCAGGGGTCAAGTTTCCTGAGGGCTTTGCCCATCCTAGAGCTGGAGGCCTGACCCCTCCCCCAAATAGTGAGGATCACTGTATTGCTTTCCTATCACTGCTGTAACAAATTAGCACATTAGTGGCTTCAAACAAAACAAACGTACTGTCTTACATTTCTGTGGGTCAGAAGTCTGGTATGGGTCTCACAGGACTAAAGTCAAGGTGTCAGCAGGCTGTGTTCCTTTCTGGAGGTTCTAGGGGTGAATCTGTTTTCTGCTCATTTGGATTGTTGGCAGAATTCAGTTCCTAGGGTTGTGGGACTGAGGTCCCTGTTTTCTTGCTGGCTGTAAAATGAGGCCTCTGGCTTCTAGAGGCCACTGCATTATTTGGCTTGTGGCCCCCTTCCTCCATCTTCAAAGTCAGTGCAGGCAGATGGAGGACTTCTCGAGGCTACCTTTTTGGTCATCTTCTATTCATAAGGACACTTGTGATTTGGGCCCACCTGGCTAATCCAAGACACTTCCTCTGTCTTAAGGTCCTTAGTCACGCCTGTAAAGTCCCTTTTGCCACGTAAGGTAACATATTCACAGGTTCCAGTGATTAGAACATGGTGGGGGGGAGGCGGGGGTGGGCATTATTCTACCTGCCACAACCACCCAGCATGGGGCAACCTCTGACCCAAAATTCCCCTCCTCCTTTTCTAGGGGGAGGTCTGTGCAGTTCCCTGTGCAGCAGGGACCTACGGCCCCAACTGCTCATCCGTCTGTAGCTGTAACAGCGGTGGCACCTGCTCCCCAGTAGATGGCTCCTGCACCTGCAAGGAGGGTAATGTGCCTTCTTTCCCAATCCCATCCCCTCAGATGTGCACAGTGCCCAGGTGGGCTGCCGGCTGAGGGGTCTGGGCTGCTCCTGCCCCACTCACCCACATGCAGGGTCGGGGAGCCTATATGTCAGGTTCCAGCCAAGGAGACCCATGCCAGGGACTTCAACAGCAGGAATGTAATAAAGGGGATTTGTTACCACAGTGTTAGAAGAGCTGAAAGGACTTACAAGGGAACATGAGCAACCCAGAAAGTAGTAGCTTCTCCCACAGTTGCTACCACTTCCAGGGTGAAAGGGACAAAGGGAGGAAGTGGAGTTCCCAGAGCCTGGGAGTGAGGGCTGGGATGTGGGCAGAGGGGCTGCAAGATGGTGCTGGAGCACTGAGACACAGCCACCACCAGAGGCCCTGCTCATAGCAGAGAAGGAAGAGGAGATACCTGGCATCTCTCCTGCTCCCGCCCTCCCATCACCGGCCAGGTCTCCCACTGGCAAGCCCATCTGGGAGCAGCTGCAGGGGTCAGCCCCCTGGGATACAGAACAGAGCAGGGGAAGGGGAGAAATGGATCTGAGGGCAGACAAGCCAGTAACCAGCCTCAGAATGGGAAATCAGCCTATCACCAAAACACAGGGCCCTGAGATAAGTTTCCTGAGTATACCCTCGGCACAGATAGCCCTCTCCGCCTCCACTGGTTCCCTGTCCCAGGTGGGATCACCCACCTATGGCAAAAACAGTGAGAACCGGGAGGCAGGAGACCCAGGTTCTAGCCCCCGCTCTCTCAACAGCCTTGCTGTGTTTCTGAGTGGACTCCGAATGTGGAATGTGTGTTCTGACCTAGCAATCAGAGAAGGGGTGGTTTGGGTATGATGCCTTGTACAGAGTTGGGGGGAGTGGGCAGAAAGCCATGCTGGGCCTAGATGGAGAGGTGACAGCCTCGTTCCCTCCCCTCAGGGTGGCAGGGCCTCGACTGCACCCTGCCGTGTCCCAGTGGGACGTGGGGCCTGAACTGCAACGAGAGCTGCACCTGTGCCAATGGGGCGGCCTGCAGCCCCACCGATGGTTCCTGCTTCTGCACCCCTGGCTGGCTGGGGGACAACTGCGAACTGCCCTGCCCGGTGAGTGTGGGGCGGGGAAGGACGGGGTGGGCCCATCAGCCCCCCATGCCCTTTCCCTGTAGTTTTTTTTGTCCACAGAGGTGCACAGAGAAGAGCACTGGACCAGGTGGTGGGACACTTGGATTCAGGTCTCAGCCCTAGCTCTAACCTCTCTGTCCTACTTCTGGCCTCAGCCCTCTTATCTATAAAATGACAGATACTTAGCAGATATGGTGATGTGGCCTCACTTTCCCCTGGGTGCTCTTGGGAAACATTATTGACTCTGGCACATTTACCTGAGCCCAGATGCAGCTTCAGAATCCTTCTTGACACAGTGCTACAGGACAGCTCTTACTAATCCATCAGAGTTGCCATTCCTTGATAATAACATCTAAGCTTCTTTCTGGTTCCAACACTCTATAATTTTATGATCAAGGTTGGGAGGACTAAACCAAGCATTATCCAGTAATAACCCACCTAGACTTAATCCCTGGATCTTAGTCTAAGATACAAGTTAAGTTAAACCAACTGATAGGATATTGTTGAATGAGTCCTACAATCCTGGGTTCCAATCCTGCCTTTGCCTCATCCTAGCCGTGTTACCTGGAGCATGTTACTTCACCTCATCTTTAAATTTTGAATATAATGGAACCATCTCATAGAGTTGTTGTGAAGATTAAGAGAAATGAATTATATGAGACTCTTGATACCTGATGAGCACACAACAAATGTTGACCGCCACCTTCTTACCCACAAAGAAAAAATCATAGTCATTCCTCACATGTGATCAATGTTTAAAAATTTGCAAGGTGCATTTTCATTCACAATTTTAATTCATGATCATTACAGCTCTCTGAGCTTGACCATTGAGAGGTAGGGCAGGACCAACACCTCCCTCCCTCCAAACTGCATACTCTTCGTAATGCAGCCAAAGAATTATTTGGAGTAGCCTCACTGGATCCCCAGTTATAACAAGTGCCTCCACAGTGCTCCAGCCCCAGTTTCTCTTCATCCTTGTTGGGCAGTGGCTCAGTTTTGTCATCAACATCCGAAAGAAGTGTGAGAACCTCTGAGGGTCTAGGTCTCGTCATTTTTCTCTCCACAGGATGGCACGTTTGGGCTGAACTGCAGTGAGCGTTGTGACTGCAGCCACGCCGATGGCTGCGATCCCGTCACAGGCCACTGCTGCTGCCTGGCCGGATGGACAGGTAACCCCCTCTGCCATGCCACCATCCTGGTCCTGTGAAACTGAGCTCTTGGTATTCTCCTGCTTCTCTTGACTGTTCCTTCACCTTTTCTTCTTCTTGCTTCCTACATATGCACCTTTTCTTTATATCCTCCGGGCTTCAGTTCTCCATTTCATTCCCTTTGAGTAAACAAATATGAATTGAACACCTAGTATGTGCAGGCTCTGTTCTAAGGGCTAGGGACAGACCAGTTTAAAAAATGCAGACAGAGGTGTGGGTGCTCAACCTGTGTTTGCAGGGGATATGGTGGAGAGGCGGACAGGGAACTTTCTCCTTAGCCCAGGCTCAGACTCCTGGCCCCTACATGTGTCCTGGCAGCTCACCTCCTAAATAGATGGCACGTCCATCCATTTCTCACCAGCCACTGCCACCACCCTCGTCCACTGAGCACCATCTCTCAGCAGGCACTGCCTCGGCCTCCCGTTTTTCTGTGGGCCTCCCCTCTTGCACAGCTGCACCCACTCTGCACATGGTGGTCAGATCCGTTCACATCAGTCCCTGCTCAGGATGCCTCCATGGCTTCCCAAGACACTGATCCAAAATCCTTACAGTGACCTGGGGTCCACATGGCCCTGTAAGGCCCTGCCCAACTCCTCCACCTCTCTTTTGTGCCCTCCCATCACTCACTTCACTCCACCACCTGGGCCAACCACCGTCCCTGACTCCAGGCCTCAAATGTGCATTCCCTCTGCCTAGATCACTCTTTCCCCTTCTCTTCACCTAATAACACCTTCTCATCCATCATATTTCGACATAAAGATGACTTCCTCTGGGAAGGCTCTCTCCCCCTGATACTACCACCTCCCCAACCTGGCCAAGACTATGAAAGAGCCCCTTTAATTAATTCTCACAGCATTTTGCTGTACTTACTTCAATTGTCACTGAACTCTGATTTGAGTAACGATTTGTTTATTATCTGCCTCCCACCTTGACCATCAGTTCTGTGGAGGCAGGGACCACATCTGCCTTGTTCACCACTGTATCCACTGCCTGCCACACACTGAGAAATGGTTAAGAACACAGAGCTGGCACCAGACCTCCTTGGGCAAGTCCTTTACCCTCTCAGGGCCTGAATCCTCCATCCATAAAATGCAGATAATTATAATCCTTATAACTACAAGATCATTTTGAAGTTTAGATGAGTTAATACCTGTAAGCGCTAACAGTGCCTGGCACGTAATAGGTGCTCAGTAAGTGTAAGCCACAAATACAGTGTTAATGTTACGTGAACGAACCCACTGGCCATTCCCAAAGTGATGGACAGCAAGGAGAAAGAAATACAGGCATTGCTGGCAGTGTAGGTCCTCACATGAATAATTCACACCAGGCTGCTGGGCAACCTCTGTTCTCCGCAACCAGAAAGTTTCTGAGCAGCTGAGGGCTGGGGACATTGCTTCCTCTGTAGCATCTCCGACCTGACTCCCTTGCCCTGCCGCTTAGTACAGAGCTAGGCTCCACACTGGTTACTGGCACCCTAGACTCTTAGCTGGAGCCAAATGGAAATCCATTTTAATTTTTCATTGCCTTAATTTCGAGTGAACCGATAAGACTCCAATGACATGTGGTGCTTAAAAATTATGTCTTTGATGGACAACCTTTCAGCAAGGTCTCTGCTGTTCTAAAACTAATTTTCCCAAACGTGGTCCTGAAGTCGTTTCAAAGGAGCAATTGATGTCCTGAGATTTGTCAAGCAGAAGGAAACAAAGGAAAGACAGTGAGGGCGCAGGGTAAAGGCCCCAGCCCCCTGCTCGGCAAGCCCTCCCCACCCACTGCTGACTACCGAGCCCCTGGCATGTTGCTTGTGCCTAGGCTCAACACTTGTTTCTCTTTGCTCTAAGCATGTACGTGTCTTCTCCCCTTGCCCCCCTTAGCCACACACTTCTTGACTGGCATGATATCGAATTCACCTTGCCCTGCACATGGTAGGTGCTTACTCAGTGTTTACTGAAATAAATTGAAAGAAGCTGGCCTATAACCATGTATGGCCTTTCCCCTTGAAGTGAAGGAGACCTTGACGATGTTCCGCTCCAACCTCCTATGCTACAGATGAGGAAAGGGAGCTGCCCAAGGTCTCAGGACATTAGTGCCAACAGGATGGGAGACACTGGAGTGCACTGTAAAGGGGAACCATTTATTCATTCAGTTGGCATTTATTGACTCGAGCCATCACCGAGTCTTTATTTGGCAGCTACCATGTGCCCGGCACTGTGCTAGGCCCAGCAGTAAATGGCAAAATTCAACAGCAATAGCCCCTGGGCACCTACTGTGTGCCAGACACTGTCCTGGGTACTAGAGATGCAAAAATGACCAAGATCATTTCCCTGCCCATTAGGAGCACCTGGATAAAGAGAGTCAGAAGTCATAGTCCCTGTCTTCACAGGACACATATATATGAAATATTCAAATGATAGGGACAAAGTTGTATGCCACTATCAAATAGATGCTTGAATCCCTAGGCAGACATTCAGGGAGACTTCCTGGAGAAGGAAGACCCCAAAACCCAAAACAGTCCCTGAAGGATGTGGGCTGCTGAATTGCTGCTAGCCTTGTGACATGAACTAGAGGTCACAATATATAGATTCTTAGCCTAGCTTTACCCACCAGTGTGGATGTGTAGGGGGCCCTGAAAGATAAAGCAAAGAGATTCCCTAAGGGTAAGAATGGGAAGGACCCCTAAGGGGGATTATTATCTCCATTCAACAATAGGGAAAACAGGGCCTAGAGAAGGCAACTAACTGATGATACCACTCCTCTTCAGAAGCTGTAGTTGGAGAGCCTCCCTTTAGGCCAAGGTCAAGCCCTTTGACTTTACCGGTGCAACTGGCTTTTCCACGCAAGGGGAAACCCTGGACCCTTCTCTCCACTTAGATGCCAATGTCTTAAGTTCCAGGGAGCTCTTAGGACATATAACAGCCTCAAACAGGAGCCCCACACCCATAGAACCAGGCCTAGACTAGAATAATTGGCAGATCCTAGAACCCGGTGGGCCCTTGCAGCAATCTGAGCATGATCACCTTACACCTGTGGTTCTTAATCTCCAAAAAAGAGGACACCTTTTTTGTTTTGTTTTGTTTTTTTGCGGTACGCGGGCCTCTCACTGTTGTGGCCTCTCCCGTTGCGGAGCACAGGCTCGGGACACGCAGGCTCAGCGGCTCACGGGCCCAGCCGCTCCGCGGCACGTGGGATCTTCCCGGACCGGGGCATGAACCCGTGTCCCCTGCATCGGCAGGCGGACTCTCAACCACTGCGCCACCAGGGAAGCGCGAGGACACCTTTTTGACATGAAAACATTTGGAGGATCCCACACATGAGAGCAGCTGTACTTTTAACATCCACTGATTTGGGGGAAAACATGATAGCAACAAGCTGCCATGAATTCAGGGGTGTTTTGCATGCATTGTGTTTTATTAATCACAGTAATATCTGCATACAGTTTTAGGGAAAAGCCTACAACTATGGGAAAGAGCCTTGGGCAGCCTAACCAAGCGTGCTTGCTGCACAGGAGGGATTGGAGGTCAGACAGTGGAGCTCCTCCATAGTCCAGCGCGCCTCCCAAGAGCAGCAGGGTCCCTCGGCCTGCAGTCTGAACAGGTTGTTTTCAACAACCACAGGCCAGAGAATTCCTTGGGGCAGATCATGGCTTTTGGTTTTAAACAGCTTTGTGGTTTCCCTCGCCCCAGGCTCCCCTTCGGTCCCTCCGTGTTGCTTGTCCGGGCTTCACCTCTTGTGCACCTGAAACTCCACTGGGAGAGACCTCCACTGAGGAGGAAATGTGACCACCAGATTCTCACTGGGGAAAGACTGTATTCCCAGGAAGAAGCTCCCCGCACCCCATTCCCTCCATTCAGAGGCCTATTTCCTGCAGAGTGGCATCTGAAGCCTCCACCCTGCTGCAGAATTGAGCTGTCACAGGGAGGGAGGCCCAGGGAGGGAGCATGGGCTAGACTGAGGTGCTGGAGGAGAGTGAAGCCTGTTGCATCCCTTCCCTCTCCACTCTCTCCCCCTGTTCTGCCCCCTCGCCTTTCCCCACCCACCCAGGTAAGCTTGTATAATTCCAGCCTGCCTCTAAACTGGTCCCACCGCTCTCCTGCTGCTGCTAGGACCGGCTCTGTTCACTGAGCCTGAATGTCTTCCTCCCTCTTTCTTTTTCTTTCTCACGATCCCTTTCCTTATAACAAGGCAGACGTGCTTTGTAAACTAATTCTGCTCCTCTCTGAGCCTCTGATATTCACCTTCCAAAGCCAAATTGGTCTCCTGGGTCCCCATGGTCCATTCACCTTACGCGTGGCGGACTAGAAGCCTTTCTGCCTGGGAGGAAACCCCACGCCAGAGCTGGGCATCCAGCCTCAGGCCTTTTAAAATTCTTCTCAGCCTTCAGGCTGTAATCACCCCAACACATATTTCCTTTCTCTCAGCTCAAAAAAGACCATGTAGGCCTTGCTCCTCTTTCTTTTTGACAGATTCCATCCCTTCCCACATAGGCCACTGTATGTCAAACTGAAGGTCATTAAATCAATTTTTTGGGTCACAACTAGCTTTTTTTTCCCTTAAGGACATAGAATACATCATAGTGCAAAGAAAACATCAGATTGCATCACAGTGACAGTAAATGTCATTTGCAAAATGTTGGTTTCTATTATACATGTGTGCGCACATATGATATAAAATACATATTGCACTGAGGACTGTGGTCAAAAGAATCTGAAAAGACCCCACCCACTCTCTAAGCCACTGCCCAGGGGCTGGTTGGCTAGGGCCCAGCAAGGATCGGTGGCTCCTGGGCTAACGTGGGTGGGCAGGTAACTCACTCCCAGCTCATGTAGCCCCTATAATGGCACTCACTTGCTGCACTAACCTTGGATTCCAGCTAAGATGTCAAAGACAAAGGAAGCCCTTCATGATCTGATCCCTTCTGATTCCCACAATCTCATCTCTTGCCGTATCCCATCTCGTACTTTATGGTTCAACCACACTATGCTGTTTTATCTTTCAAGGCGTGATTCTCTCTCCTGCCTCCTGCTCTTTGCACATAGGGTTTCCTTTATCTGGTCAATTCCTCCTTGGTCTTTAGGACTACTCAGTTCAGGCATCGCCTCTTCCTGGAAGCCCTCCCTGACCAGCCAAGCTTCTCTGTTTTTCTCCTCCATATTCCCAGATTTACTGTGTTTGCCTCCACCTCTTCTTACTGCATAGTACCCCCCCCCCCATTCTTCCTTTCACCCTCGCCCCTTACCACTGACTTGAGTCTGCCTCTGGCCCACAGGCATCCACTGTGACAGCACGTGTCCGCCCGGTCGCTGGGGCCCCAACTGCTCCGTGTCCTGCAGCTGCGAGAACGGCGGTTCCTGCTCCCCAGAGGATGGGAGCTGCGAGTGTGCCCCGGGCTTCCGAGGACCCTTATGCCAGAGAAGTAAGGCTGAGACCCTACCCCTCAGACCTCGGACAGCTCATCCTCCCCAGCCTTCCCAGCCTTAACTAGGACTGGCCTGAGAGAGGCTGGGCTTACACAGTCAGTCCCCATCAAGTCCCTCCCTCTAATCCCCTTTCTCCTGGCCCTGACTTTTCTGTCCCCAAGTTCAGGGCCTAGCCTGGCTCCCCAGTAGAAACAGGAGCAGACCACAACTCCTCTCTGTAGAAAGGGACGGGCCCTCCCAGGTGTGGGGCAGACGCGACTCTCCCCATGCTTCTGAGAAGCCTCTCTTCATCGCTGTGTGGGACTGGACAAGTAGCCAGGCTGGCTGGGGCCCCTTGGGCTGCTGACCACCCTCTCCCCTTCACCCCCAGTCTGCGCCCCTGGGTTCTATGGCCACAGCTGCGCCCAGCCGTGCCCCCTCTGCGTGCACAGCAGCGGGCCCTGCCATCACGCCAGCGGCATCTGTGAGTGCCTCCCCGGATTCTCCGGAACCCTCTGCAACCAAGGTACTGTTTCCAGGGGGAAGGTGTGTGGACCAGCGAGACGAGGAGTCCCAGGAGGGAAGTAGCAGGGAAGGAAGGTTCAGGATTCTCATCATACTCTGTGGAGGCAGCTCCTTGGCTCTTCAGGGCTTAGACCTACCTTAATAAGGATTGGACACACCACGGGGTGTGAGACAAAGCCATGATGCAGTTGAAGGAACAGGCTCAGAGAGGTTAAATGACTTCTCCATGGTCTCACAGCTAGAAGCGGCAGAGCTGAGAAACAAATTCTGACTCCAAAGCCCAGTCTAAGCGGATAAAAATTGAAACAAGCGTAGATAAGGTCCACATATGAAGTGACCCCAAATGGCTTGTGCTGAGTGCCAAGTGGGAAAGGCAGAGAACACTGTGGGAGCTCAGAGGAGACAGTTCTGGCTTCGCTGGAGATGGCAACGTCCCAGCCCTTCTTCCCTCACACTCAGGCCAACACTAATCCCTCACCACACGCTTTCCTGTCTCAGCTGCAGAATCCACAGCACCAACTCCAGCCAACTCTTCCACTCAACGGGAGTTGAAAAGGGAGATAAAGCTTATTGAATTGGTGTGCTGCTAAACTGGCTCTCTGCGGCGGGGGGGGGGGGGGAAAGCCCTAATCTGTATCATTTGCAAATTTCCATGCTGTAGATATTCCCACCATGGCTGATTCTAAGGTACCGGTTTAACACCGGTCGTGAAATTCCCGAATATTTAATAGCCAGTGTGAAGGTAGAAGCTGGCTCCGTTGCACACCATTGCTTGCTGCTGTCCCTGGCTTAGTTAGGCCAAAGCAGGGTGGATTGGGGGGACGGCTCCGTGCCGTGTAGGACTTCAGCTGGGCCTTAGCCTAAAAGGCAGAGATGGAAGAAAGGCATTGTGGGTAGAGGAACCAATCTGGGCAAAGCACAGAGGCGTGCACATGCGACTATCCAGCCACAGGGAATGGCAGGAGGATGCAGGGGCTGTGGATGGCAAAGGGGACTGAGAAGGTAGTCTGGGGACTCCTGGAGAGTTTTGAAGACAAGGGTGTAGAATTTGTACTTTAACCTGTAAGGAGCGAAAGGATCTTAGTCTAAGGTAAACTTAGAGCTAAAAGCAACTTCAAGGTCATCTGTGAGAGTCTCATCTGGCCTCTGCTTAAATACTTCCTTTGAGAGCTCACTGCCTCCCAGGGGACTGGATTCTTTTGATGAATAATGACCACTGAGCTCGGCTATTTTTCTAAGTGTGTGGGCCATTAATATGTATGAGTGGAAAGTTAACTCCGTGATGCTTTGAGGTCATGAGAAGTTTGGACCCCAGGGAAACATACGTGACAGTTTCATTTGCTTGCAGTCCTCCTAGGGCAGTTTAATCATAACCTGACGTGTCGAGGTTTACTTATTAAACATCGGAGACCCAGCTGTCAATACAGATAGGCCAGGTCTAAATTAGGACCTAAGCAGCCCGAGGAGTAACTCTCACATCCTGCAATGTCTGATTTATCGCCCGCTGGCCTAATGAGTATTTTCCACACATAGATCTAACAGAGTTTGCTATTAATGGCAACTGCCCTGGTTAAGTCTCAAACCTTGTAAAAAATTGAACTGACGCTTTCTAATGACTGGCTTTCCAGCGAGTTACAAATTACAGACACTGCTTATGCAGAATCATTAAACATAGATTAAATACAACCAGATGTTTTCTTTTCACCAGTCCCCCTTCTCTCCACCACCCCTCTCTTTGCCTCACTCTTGATTCAGCTAAGAAGTTAACCAATTAATGTATTAGACTGATCACATTAGCAGCTCTGTGGGTGAATTTGTCAGCCTTGCATATGTGAGAAAGACTTCAAAGATAAGACTTGTTAGAGAAGTCTTGTTAGAGAAGCTCAGAGTTGGTTTTAGGATGGGTGTCAGTGGAGCATCTCTGGCACCCGGCTCCCCACAGAGGGCCAGGACTAGGGGATGGGTTCCCCACATCATGTACCTCCCAGAGGCAGGGAAGAGCATGCTGGGTGACCTGCTTTTCAGGAAGCCAAAGCTGGAGGCTGAGCTGCAAACAGGTGAGATGCATGTCATCCTCCTGGCAGTGGACCCGCCCTGGAAGGAGCTAAGGTTTTTGCTAGGGAAGAGCACAGGGCCCAAATCAGCCATCGTGCCCATAACCATTAACTATAGCCCAAGGCCAGTGGGTGAGGGTTATCAGTCCCATTTCAAAGATGAGGAAACAGAGACTGAGAGGAGTGATGTGGTTTGCTCGGAGGTACTTAGCCAGTGAGTGGCAGAGCTTCCTGGCTGTGTAACCTTGGGCAAGTTACTTAACCCCTCAGTCCCTCAGTTTCCTCATCTGTAGAGTTAGTAATAATGAAAATATGTAATAATGAGAGTATTACAAGGTTAATTGAACTAATATTTGTGAAGCATTCTGAACAGTGGTACATAAAAGTGCCACAGAAGTGTTTGTTGAATACATAAATAAAACTAGGACCCAAACCCAAGGCTTTGGGCTAGAGAGCCTGGTATTGTTTGTCTCAATTGCTAATCATGTCCAGGAGAGGCACAGAGTGGCCACAGATCCAGGTGCCCACCATCCAGTTGGGGAAGGGCTGACAATATGAGACAGTGTGGCCTAAGGGAGGGGTGCCAGCCCAAATTTCAAGAGATGTGGGCCTGGGGAAGTTGCTTTTCTTTAAGAATCAACACCTTCCCCTGATGCTCAGTGTGGCTCAGCCAAATGAGGGCCTCAGGGATTCAAGGACTTCCTCCCCCATAACAGGGGTGCAAGGAGGCCATCTTGGAGGGTGTAGGGCCAGCTGGAACTGGGCTTTGAGGGGAGCGTGTCAAACTGAGAGGAGCTCGAAGGGACAGGGGTCACTGATTCCAGCAGAACCCACTGGAACGTCACTGCTCCTGGGGCCAGTTTTGGCCATTTGGGGAATAGTTCCTGAGTGTTTGTTGTATGCCATGCACTGTGCTGGGCACTCAGACACAACAAAGAACAAGAGAGCCAAGTTCCCTGCCCTCATAAAGCCTGCAGTCCAGAGGGGAAAATTCTGAGCTCAGCCTTTCCCAGCAGAACTTGGGGGCTGGGGTGGGGGGAGAAGGGGCAGCAGTTTATTTCCACATATTCAGCCACTGTGCCTTGAGCACCTGTTGTTTTTCCAGGCATTGTGGGTGTACAGACACGGGTGGAACCCAGGCCTGGCCTGAAATGGCTCACAAGCCACAGTAACAGAAGACCAGGGAAGAAACTAATAGAGGGTCCTAGAAGCTCAAACAGGGACATAGCCTCCCAGAACAGAGAAGAGGGGTGAATCTGTTAGGATTAAGTTCAGCTATAAGTAACATAAAAACCCAAAATAACTGACTTGAAGATGACAAGCTTTGTGTCCCTCACACATTTACAAAAAAACCAAAAAGATGAAAGAAAAGCAAAGATCCAGAAGTAGGCCACTAGGGAGTGGTAGGGTAGCTTACATAGATGTCAGGGACCCAGACTCCTTCTATCTTGTTGTTCTGCCATCCTCAGCACATGGCTTCCACCTCTGAGGAAGGGTAGCTGCTTGAGCTCCAGCTATCTTACCCACAATTCTCATCCATAATCCACATTATTCTTCAACAGGAAGGATGAATGGGCAAATAAAGACACGCATTTCCACTTACCATTGGTCAGAATGTAGTCACGTGGTCATACCTCGCTGTGCAGGTGGACATACGCCCAGTTAAAACTACTTCTAAGGAAGAAGAGAATTGATATTGAAGGACTAGCTGTCTACTACAGAGGGATCATCGGGGAGGTGGTCCTTAAGATGTGTCTTGTAGGCAGGGTAGGATTTCCACAGCTGGGCATGAGGGTCAGGGAAATTCTGGGAGGGAACAGCTGGAGTGAAAGCACAGAGGAGGAAAGGCATGGGGTGTTATTTGGAAAGTGGTGTGTGGTCCAATGTCTGGGTGATGAGGTATGTTTAAGTGCTGATCTCTAGGATCTAGGTTTTATTCTGGGGCACTAGGGTGCCACTGAGGATGTTTGAGCAGGGCATAGGAGTGCCATGAAGAGAGCTGTGCTTTAGAGAGCTCAGGCTGTAGGAAGCAGGTGAAGGATGAATTGAGAGGGAATTGAGAGGGAGGTGCTCGGTGAACACTCATATCTAGTCCTCAAGGAGCTTGCAGCTTTGTTGAGGAAACCAGCCCTTCCTCCAGGAACCAAGGAATGACTCCTCCAGGAGGGGCCGGGATCAAAATCCTACAAAGGACTCAAGGTGGAAATACCATGGGAGCTCAGTGGAAGAGAGCACCTTGTGGACCCAGGAGGGCTCTCCTGGGGAGGAGGCTGAACTGAGGCTCAAGGAACAGGTTGGATTTGGAGAGACAGGAAACAGGGGGACAGGGATAGACATTCGGGGCTGGTCCTCCAGCCATCTAACTGCAGACAGACCTGCCACCCTGCATTTGTCCCTCTCCTTCCAGCTATAAACATTCCCTGCCCTCGCATTTGTGAGATCAGTGATGCTGACACAAGTGTGGTAATGGAAAGCAGAAGGCTTCGGGGCAGTGCAGGGACCACTGGACTGAGTGCAGAGCTGGGATTCCCAGCCTCACCACTTCTGTCTGTGAGACCGAAGTCAAGTGATTCTACCCCTATGGGCCTCAGTTCGTTCCTGTCAGAGGGAATCATTACTAGAGGCTCCCGAAGAATGCAGCTGTGGACACAAGAGGGGGAACTCATTGATGTGGAAATGAAGAAGGGTGATGGGGGTGCTGAGGTGGGCAGTTCCCACCCAGATCCGTGACCCCAGATGGCCATGGCTGTGGCCTGGGAACTTCTGGGGGTGTAGCTGTGGGTGGTGGTCTGAGGAGTACAAGTGGGAGGACAGGTGCCAGGCTGTCCTGTGCCCACAGTGTGTGCTGGAGGGCACTTTGGGCAGGACTGTGCCCAGCTCTGCTCCTGTGCCAACAACGGGACCTGCAGCCCCATCGATGGTTCCTGTCAGTGCTTCCCTGGATGGATTGGCAAGGACTGCTCACAGGGTAAGCTGCTGCCCTCTGGGAATGCTCCCCCCGGAATGCCCCCGACCATGGTCAGGCCCAGAAACACCCACTCCCTGCCCAGAACCTCTCTGCCCCTGGTGCTTCTACCTCCCAGGGCTGAAATCTCCTGCAGATAGGAATGTCCACCTGAGTCCCATATAGTCTCTATAGCTAACGTGATGAATTACTAGGATTGATCACTAGTATTATTAACTGTTAGTATTAAAGATATGGGCGTTATTCGTAGTATCATTAATACTATGAACGCTGAGTATTAATACTCCTAGCATCTGATCAAGGAGTAGCCCCTAAGTTTGGATGGGGAGGAAGAGGGAGTAGGGAAGTGAGGGGAGGCCCGGGCAGTTGCCTCACAAGGGTGTCCTCTGGGTGGCTCACGTGACTGATGTCCTGGGCATCATAGGCCTGGGCAGAGCATTGTAGGGGCTGTTCCTATAAGGTGAACCCAATCTGATACAGAGGTAACAGGGACCCCCAATCTAAAGGCAGAGACTCAGCCTCTGCCCTGTGGAGTCCTTGCCTGATGGGTGAGACCCAGCCAGTACCCCTAGAACGGTCCCAGTTAAGATGCCCTGGCCCAGGACTTCCCTGGTGGTCCAGTGGTTAAGATGCTGCACTTCCACTGCAGGGGGCAAGGGTTTGATCCCTGGTCAGGGAACTAGGATCCTGCATGCCAGGCAGTGGCCAAAACAAACCAAACAACTGGCCTGAAGGCATTTCCATTCTGATGGAGGAGACACCCTGCTATCCTCCGGGAGCTCATTAGCTCCCTGAGAAGAAATAAGTCCCTACCCTGGGAAAGTACCCCCCCACCCCCACCATCCCCATGGGGAAGTTAGTACACACAGTATTCACACCGTAAACCGCAGTGTTTACAGTTTACCACACGCTCCAAATCACAGTCATTCCCCTAAGAGGGAAGGTTCAGAAGCCCTCAGAACTGGGAGGGTGGGCAGAGAATCCGGGCTTAATGGGAATCCTGGGTGATTGGGTCAAGAGGTGAGTGGAGGAATTCTGGGAACAGTGGTTAAGCCCCGTGAAAGCCAGGAAATGCCACCCGGGGGCATCCTGGCTGACATGCACTCCCCCTTCCTCTCCCTCCCTCTCCGTCTGCCCCTCTCTGCCTGGCCTTCACCCTCGGCATCCCACCCACGCCCAGCTTGCCCACCTGGGTTCTGGGGCCCCGCCTGCTTCCACACATGCAGCTGCCACAACGGGGCGAGCTGTAGCGCCGAGGATGGGGCCTGCCACTGCACCCCTGGTTGGACCGGACTCTTCTGCACGCAGCGTAAGCCCCGCCTCCCAGCCTCCCAGCCATTTGGAATCCCATGCTGCGGCCTGCTGGCTGCCGTGGGCATCGTCTGGACATGTAGTGGAGGGAGAGAGGAGGCAGGCCCCAGAGCTCGGAGCTATCCACCCCCACCACCCACCCCTGGGGTTAAAGAGTCTGGCCGGACTCAGGGGGTTGAGGCGCCCAAAGTCCTGGAAGGCCAGAGCTATCGGGTACCCCAGCAATCACCAAGACCAGACCCTCCTTGGACAGGGGGCCCAGCGTGGGGAGGAGCAGCCTGTGGTTGCACAGCAATGAGACATCAGCCTGGCCTCTGGTTCCAAGGTACCCTTGTCCAAAGGACTCCCTGCCTCTTCAGCGTGAGGGTTCCGAGCGTGGAGCGTGCAGGGTGCAGGGTGTCACTAGTCCTTACCCCATGCTCAGAGAAAGAAGGGGCAGGAGGCAGGTTTGGTCCCAACTGCACCTCAGCAGTTGCCCTCGCCCTGTTTCTCTTCAGGCTGCCCAGCAGCGTTTTATGGGAAGGACTGCGGGTATGTGTGCCAGTGTCAGAATGGTGCCAGCTGTGACCACATCAGCGGCAAGTGTACCTGCCGCACGGGCTTCACCGGGCGACACTGTGAGCAGAGTAAGCTGTCCCGACCCCTGACCCTGGTGTCAATGCCAGGCCTCAGCCTCCTGCAGGGGAAGCCTCCCCCTTTGAGGTCCACCCATCAGGGCCCTGCACCGCCTGCTCCCTTGACTTTTGGAGCAACTCCCAAGGAGAAAACCTGAAGGTTGGGCCTACGTTGGCTTAAGAGTTTCTTCCTTCAGTGGGGGTGGGGATGGGGCATGTGGAGGCAGAGCAGAGCCTTTGCTGGGGGAGGAGCTTAGCGAGAGTAGAGGGAGGCAGATCTTGTTTGATTGATCTTTGAAGCCCCTGTGGCACCAGGCCCTGACACACAGAAGATGCTGTGTAAATAGGGACCAGGTGAGGAGGAGGTAGGGGTGGGTGTCCCCCCACTCAGGGTTATAGGTGTTCTGTCTAGCCCCAAGTAGCAAACCAAAGCACATCAGGAGCTACAGAGAAAGAGGCTTCGCTCTGTGAGGCAGAACTAATCCTCACAGCTGCCCACATAAGGGATGGGAGGGGTGGAGAGTGGGCGTACCTCACGGTCGACTCTGATTCTCTTCATGCTACACAGGATGTGCCCCAGGAACCTTTGGCTATGGGTGTCAGCAGCTGTGTGAGTGCATGAACAATGCCACCTGTGACCATGTCACAGGCACCTGCTATTGCAGCTCTGGATTCAAAGGGATCAGGTGTGACCAAGGTAATACACAGATGGCAGAGTCCCCGGGGAAGGGGGCTATAGAAGGGGCCCCATGGGGCAGGCTCTAGGGAGTAGCCAATGGGACTGACTGAATTTTATAAGGACACTCTGTGACTTCCTTTTATTCACATTGGGAGGAGAGTGGGAGTGGAAAGGGGGCGGGGTGGCTGAGGAGGGGGAGGCTCCAGGCACTGGAAAGGCAGATGGAGAAGGCGGCCTCTCAGGCACCACTTCCCTCTGCTCATCCTTGGCAAGTTTTGTGAGCCAAGGAAGGATGACGGCAAGCCAGTGCTGTGGAAGGGTCAGCAGACCGAGTCGGAAGATCTGCCATTACCTGCTAGGTGTCCTTGGGCCGGTCATTTCCTTTTGCTGGGTCTGTTACTCCACATGTGGAAAGACACAAGGTTCTGCTGAGAGCCAAGGAGCCCAAAGGGGCTCAACCTTGGCTCCAGGTCTATAGTCAGACAAGACCCCATAGTGCTGTTGTGAAGACCAAGTTAAGATAATGTGAGTAAAGGACTCAGCACAGTGCCTGGCACATCAAGTGAGCACTCGATAAATGGTTTTTGCTGTTGGCTGTAGGAGATAGGGATGAGAATGGGCACCCAAGCGTCCACAGTACAGAAAAGGGGCCAAAAGACATTTCCACTGCATTCTGATGGGGGATGAGGGACAGCCCACACATATATCAGCAAGAGGGGTTTTAGGAGCAGCAATCCTGGGCACACTGGTACAGCACTCACAGCTTTCGTTGTCAGTCTCTCATTAGTGCTCACAGTGGGATTGCTGTCCCCATGTTACAAATGAGCAAACTGAGGATTCTGAGTCACACAGTTGGTAGACAGGGAGGGGGCTGAGTCCAGTTTTTCCTGACTCCTGAGAAACCCACTCTACCACTTACTGGTTGTGTGATCTTGGGCAAATTACCTAACCTTTTGGTGACTCGGTTTCTTCATCTGTGAAAGGGAAATAATTAGTCTTTATTTCTTATAGGACTTATAAACAGCTTTTTATAGGGCTGCTGGGAAGATCAAATGAGTTAATATCTGTAACTCATTTTCAGAACAGAGTAAAACACTCAGTAAACATCCATTATTTTGGTTTCCACCTATGATCACATTTGCTCCCTGTCATGACCCTGGGAGGCTACCCTTTGTAGACAGTTGAAGACAGACACGTGAGGTTGAAGGGATTGAAGAATAGGGCCAAGACCAGCACCCGGGTCTCCTAACCTTAGGAGTCTAGGCCCCAGGCTAAGGAGATCTGAAGAGCAAGCAGGCCTGCCCCAGGCTCAGCCCCTCCCTCTGTCCGCAGCTGCCCTCATGATGGAGGAGCTAAATCCCTACACCAAGATCAGCCCAGCACTGGGTGCAGAGCGGCACTCGGTGGGTGCTGTCACAGGCATCGTCCTCCTGTTGTTCCTCATTGTGGTGCTGCTGGGCCTGTTCGCCTGGCACCGGCGGCGGCAGAAAGAGAAGGGCCGAGACCTGGCTCCCCGCGTCTCCTACACACCTGCCATGAGGATGACCAGCACTGACTACTCCCTCTCAGGTAAGGGCTATGCCCCCAGCAGCTCCCTCCCGCGCCCCGCCCCCGCATACACACACACAGGACCCAAGAGGAGCCACACAGTATTCTTGGGGACACCGGGGTTTACCGCTGAAGGTGGGTGGTCGTGCCTGCAGAGTTGTCTTCTGGGGCTGGATGCTCAGGCTCCCCTGCAGAGATAATGGAGGCGAGGAGCTGGAGCTCACTTGGGAAAGGTAGATGGGGCTCCCAGGGGGTGTCATTTCCAGGATGCCCACTCTGAACAGCTACAGTTAGGAGCCTTCTTCCATTTCCCCAGAGCTTCCCCTCCTCCTCACCGGGCTTTAGTCACAAGAGCACCCACACTAAGCAGTAAATTTCCTAAATGCTCCAGGGGAACCTCTCCCCAGCCTGTGCCACCTCAGGAAACCAGCTGTGGGGCCCAATGTCCAAGCCCTGTCCCATTTTTGTTTCCTTGGTGAAGGCCTCAGAGCACCCCTCCCTCCCAGTTCCCAGAGTTAGGAGGGCCCTATTTATACAGTGGAAGGGGACGGGGCCTGACGTGGGGAAGTCTGAAAGTCTGGGCAATGTCCCTCGAATCAGGCCTGCTGGAACCCAGTCTGTTCACAAATGGGGTAACAACTCCAGCAGGCATTTATCTGGGAGTCTGGACTGCTGCCTTAGAAATAAGAACAGCTTTTTGCTTCATATTTCATTAAACAGAAGAGGTCAAAATGCTCTAAAATTGCCCACAGCCCTGAGCCACAGGAGGGTAGGCCTGTCAGGGTATGCACAAGGATGACAGCTCTCTCCAGCTGGCTCCATAGCTCATGGCTGACCTGCAGCCTCCTGGACCTTGGACTTACTTAGAAAACCAAGATCATGTCGACCTGCTGACATGTCATTCCTGCTAATTCCATTGCCTACTATTTGCCCAGCTCCGTGCTAGGCGTTGCAGGAGAGCCAGGAGCGGCCCAGGTGCAGACCCTACCTTGAGGAAGTTCCTGGCCTACATGCTGCCCTGGGTTTCAGCCAAAGTAGATATCCCCTGATGAAATCCCAAAGCTCATAGGGAGGATTTGGGGATTTTCTTCTATGACTATAGTAAGCAAGGTTGGCTAGGTTTTCCCATGCCATTCCACTGCAATCTGCAGGAGGGCAAGGCTAAGGTCAGGAGAAGTGGGGTTCTCTTTACAGCCTCACTACTGGGATCTGACCCTGGGGGAGGCAGGGGAGGGTCAGCATAGCCCTACATAGTGACTCAGGGATATCTGAGACTGTCAAATTAACGCTTCTCACGCTGGTGCCACCCTCCACACTGGCAAGCCTAACCTGCAAGCTGCAAGGAGGGCCACCGCAAGGAAAGGGGCAAATCAGGCTCTACACATTTCTAGGGGAGTAGTAGATGCCAGGAAGCTTGGGGGCTGGGAGACTTGACTGTCTCTCTTTGCAGAGCACTTTCAAGGCAGCCCAGCCCAAGCATTAGTTTAGGGGTGTCTCATGCCAGGGCCAGGGATGTGATGGCATGTGGCACCTTGTTCTCTTCCCAGATTTGTCTCAAAGTAGCAGCCATGCCCAGTGCTTTTCCAATTCCAGCTACCACGCACTGGCGTGCGGGGGGCCTAACACCAACCAGGCCAGCACTCTGGACAGGAACAGCCCCACCAAGGTACCGGGCCCCTAACTCCCCAGCCCCCATCCACTGTCTACGCACTGAGCCCTCACCTCTGCCTGGGAAGAAACTGCACCACCACCACCCCGCCCAGGGTCTGTGTGGAACCAACTGCCAATACAATACACATTGCCCTGTGATGCCATGTAAACACTCTGTGAAGCACGTAAGAGGAGGCCACCAGGTTATATGGAGCCAACAAGTGCCATGTAACCAGGACACGTCACATGTAACCAACTCACAGCATCACCCGATATAACATACACCCCCATACCCTGTGTGTAACCGGTGGGTACCAAGTCATGTGATCAAGTAATCATGTGTATCCTTGTCACACATAACCATGTAACCACTTTTGCCTCATGTTAACACATATAATCAAAACACTACAGAATTAATCACCACAGTATGTTACCAGCACCATGTGTGCAGCCAGCACATTATAGAGTAACTGCTATTACTTAGGTACCACCTTACATACTACATGTTATCAGTACACACCCACAACCATTTGTTGCTATCAGAACCGTCACAAGGGACATGGAACCCGAACATCAGTCACAGCCAAGTGTTCCCATTAACAGTGAGTCCTGCAGGCCTTCAAGGTCAGGTGAGTACCACCCTGGACAGGGCCTTTCCTCACAGCTCCCAGCCTAACCCTGGCTGATGGCAAGACGTCCTCGTACAATCACAGGCCCTTGGGCAAGGATGTCTCAGCACACATGTGTAGTGAGCACCCCCTGGTGTGCCAGGATCCATAGTGGGCAGATGAGAGGTTCAGAAATGAGGGACAGCCCCAAGGACCACAAGGTCAACGGGCTCATGCTGCATACCTGCGTGCACACACACACGCTATGGCAGGACCATGGGGGGCTGGGTGGCAAAACTCCATCCTGGGCCAGGAACATGGCCAGGAGCAGTTTTCATCCTCCAGGTCTGTGCCTTATAGAGCTCTAGGGATCCTTTCTCCCCATCTGCCCCACAGGAAATGTCCACCAGTCCACACGGACCATGGCTGCTGCCACAGCCCTGGTAGCAATGCACCCTGAGCCCCCTAGCAACAATGACACAGACCCCATATAGCCCCTGTCAAGCCAGCACCCAAAGGCCCTCTTCAGGGGCTCTCAGCCTCAGTTTTCCAATAGAATGGCAGTGCTGCAAGCAGGGGTACCTCGAGGTCTGTATGCAAAGCCTGTGGCCGTCAGCCCCACACCCAGCTTCACAGCTTTAGGCTGATCTGAGGAGCCAAGGGAAGGGAATCCAGGAGCTTCCCAGCAGGAGGTCCTTGATTAACTAGAGCCACATTATCAAGGCTACAGCAGGTTAGAGGCAAAGGACGCCAGGGGTGAGAGACAAAGTCCCTTGTGGCCATGTCATTCTCGGTCTCACGCTGACAGGGAAGCACCAGCCACCCTCTGTCACTCAGTAAGCTGGTGGAGTTACTACAGAGTAGCCCACTTGGTGACCCTCTGGCTCATTTCACCCCAGGGGCCCAAAGTAGTTCTGTGTGGTCAGGGACCCCTCAGCCTGGCAAATTTTTAGCAAGGGCAGGCAGCTGTGATGACATGGAAAGGACATGGGTCTGGGAGCTGAGACCTGAGTTGTAGACCCAGCTCTGTCACTGCCTGTGTGTGTGACCATGAGCGGGGCCCACAAGCAGGACTCAGGTCCCCAGCTGTGAAATGAGAACAACCATCCTTGCCTCATATGAAGGGCAGCTGTGAGATTGCAGGAAGAGGAAGGGTTGCGCCATAAGGCCAACCTACCCTGAAGCTTTCTTGGTCACATGAAAGGAAGATTCTCACACTCAGCCCAGGTCAGGTGGCAGAGGTGACAGTGATGTTGCAGGCAGCCTCGGCACCCGGCTCTGTGCTGGAGATGGCCTCGTGTTGCAGCCGAGACGCTGCCAACACCCCTTTCTCCTGCAGCTCAGCCCCATCCAGCTGACCTGCTTTCCCTGTCAGGGCCAGCTTGGCTCAGGCCAGTTCTTGGCTCTCAAGAGGCCCTGCCCTTTGCTCCCCTGTGTCCCAGGGGCCCAAGAGCCTTACAGCTTCAGCCAGACTGCTTAGATGGGGGTATATGTTCTGTTCCCACTGGCCTCAGCCACACCACGGTGGCCTATCATAGAACACCTAACTCTCCCTTTCCCTCAACGACCTAGCACCTAGGTGGGTCAGGGTCATCACAGGGGTGGGTGCACGAGGGTGGGCAAAAGCAAAGGCTGGGCAGGGGCATCTCAAGGGCACTAGATAGTAACTCGCTCTCCTACTTTCCAAACAGCTCAGTAACAAGTCCCTTGACAGAGACATGGCAGGCTGGACCCCCTACAGCTATGTGAACGTGTTAGGTCAGTAGTGGTTTGAGTCTGGTCCCCTGCCATCACATCCCACCCTCTTCTCCTTCTCCCATATTGACAGGGGCCCATCCCAGCTCCCTGGGAGAGTTGGTAGATAAATCTTAAGCATGGTTTCCCCCAGGGTGAAGGGGTGTGGGGAGGAAACCCAAGCCCCTATTTCAGCTCTTATAAGCAAATGAAGTCCAAGAGCCCTTTCATTCCTATGTTAGGGGATAGGGAGAGAGTGGCTATGACCCAGGGACCACAAGGGAGAAAGCTAGGGCCCAGATGTGGGGATTCAGGTTGGAAGCAAAAGATGCACTCACCATCTGGGAAAGGGACCCCTGCCTGAGCCAGGCCCCACCAAGGTGCCCCTTTCAAGGGCTTATTCCCTCTGCCCCACTGCCCTGGCAGACACCAATTCCTATGGGGGTGCGGGTGAGGGGTGGGGAGTGAGGGGTAGCAAGGCCAGTGGCCTCAGCTCTAGCAAATCCCTCTGGCCCTGCTGGCTCTAGCGCCTTTGGATGCTACACATGGAAGCCCTAATTCCTTCCAACCTGCCCCACCCTGACCCTCATCCCCCAACCCCTGCCATACCAGGGCCCTGGGAATAATGGCTCCTCCCTGTCATCCTCTCACTAGACTCCCATTTCCAGATCAGTGCCCTGGAGGCCAGGTACCCGCCCGAGGACTTCTACATTGAACTTAGACACCTCAGCCGCCCCGCTGAGCTACACTCACCAGGTTAGACTCCCAGCCCTACCCTCTATCCCCTGGACCCCTGAGGTTGTCATACCAGACCAGACCCAGCACCTACCCTAACCCCCACTCCTATCCTTTAACTTACCCCCATGGTCCCAGAACTCTCCCTGCTGAGCCCCTTCCCTCCGACATAATTAATCTACAAGTCCGATTCCCTATCTGAAGAAGGAAGCCTGTCTGGATCCCCCCAGTCACCCCTTCTCCTCCTATCATGGTCAGTGGATATGGACAAACTGCAAGTAGTATTAGGTGAAGGGAACACAACATAACCGCACTCCCTGCAGACCACAGAATACAACCCAAAACCACTGAGAAGTGACTTGGAGATGGTGACATCTTTGGGATTCTTTGGGCCCGTGGATGTGAATGACGGAGAGTTGGTTCTCTGACCAAAAAGCCCAATGTCCCTGAGAGAGAGACCCCAGACTGGCTCTCCCAGATCATAGGGTAGGGTGGTCCAGTAGGGATCTAGAGAGGTTGAGGCAGGATGTGTCAACCAACATCCTCTGTGCTCATATATTAGGCTCAAACCTGGTAGCTTGGGAAAGATGCAAAAAAGAGACTTGGAAAATCAGTCCTGCTATGGGAGGATGTGAGGTAGGAGTTTCAGAAGTAGGTGCAATGAATAAACAGAGAATTTGGCCTCCCTACAAAGTAGTCCTGCCCTAGATGGCACACTGGACAACCTGGGCCTGAATTCAGGCTCTAGCTGGTTTCTAGAGCTCAAGTGAAATGCAGCTCTACCAACCCCTGCAGGTCTCTGAGGCCAGTAGCAGTAAGAAGAGCAAAGGTTCTAAATCCATCTACCTGTTAAGTAGGCATGGGCTTCACATACCCTGGGCTTATACCCAGGAGGCTGTGCTCCTGGCTGTGAGCCCCCTAAGCAGTGCTCAGGACATTCAATAACCCCACAAATACAACCCCCCGACACACACACTACCACCACCCTGCACCTCTTTCCATTTGGGAGCATCCTCTGGGCTCAGCCCAGATTTCTCCCTTCAACCACTGTAGCCAGAGCCACCACACGCTGTCATTTTTTCGCTTACACTGAGGCAGGCTGGTGGCCAATGGGAGAGAATACTTGAGAACATCTGAGCTCTAGGCAGAACTCAACTTCTCACTTGTCAGTGTGATCTCAGACAAGTCACTGCCCTTCTTTGAGCCTGTTTCCTGTTCTGTAAAAAGGGAAAAAGTTAACAGCCTAGCCTCCCTCCCTCAGGGAGGGCAAAAGAAGCCCTGGTCTAGAATAAAGTGCTGAACTGACACCAGTGATACAGACTGTTACAGTCATGCTTCTGAAGGGCACAGGTACCTACAGGCCCTTTGGAGAATAGCAAACTTGAGAAAAACTTGGATCTGATTCTGCTCTATCACTGAGCAATGTGTGGAAGGAAGGGAGATAGGAGTAGGCTCCTGCAATTTCAACTAGGGACCTCTATATGGAAGAGGTATGGGGATGTATCTAAAGAGCCATGGGTTGGTCTTCAGTGTCAACAACTGGGGAGAGTCAAGTGCAGTCAAACTGTATTTTAGTAAGCACTTGCTGCATGCCTTGCCTGATATGGCATTCTCAGTTAAAAGCTGAAAATAATGGCTTCGTGAGCCCAAGTCATCACTGTCCCAAATTTAAAGTATCACATAATTTCTTTTCTGGGATCACCAGTAGCAAAGAACCAGAGCTTGGTCGCTGAAGCTTTGTGTCCTTCCTGCCTCTGGCTGGGGCTCAGAACCATGCATTGTGGGAGCCTAGCATAAACTGTGACAGCCAAAAGGGAAAAAAGAAATCCTTGGGACTGAAAAACACTGGTAGTATTGTTCAAATACAACTCTCAATTATGTGCAAATGGTCCACCCAAAAAAAGTGGGGCAGGGGGAGGAGGACTAAGCCAGCTGACTATGTAAGGGAATGACTATACATCCTGTAGAGATGACCAATGAAGAACCTCAGCTACCTGTTCACCTCCCTCTGGCTCCCCTCAGTCGAGCTTTGGATCCAGAAGGGGAGAGGGAAGACCAGAGCTACAAGGTGAGAAACAGTCTTCACCCCCTCTCCGAAGTCCAACAGAACTGGGACTGGGAATGTCATACACCCTTCCCCCAAGCTAAGAACTGGTTCTGATTCATTCCTTATCCTATACTTTTGGAGACTGAAACTTCACCTACAGTGACTGTAGGTGGCATCAGAACTGCCTTTGATCACCTCCTGGAAGACATTCCCCTCAGAGTGAAGGTTAAAGAGCAGTAGTGCTAAATATGCCAGGGGGTGCTGTGGCTCATCATTTATGCTTTAGGAGCTTTTAAAGAATTCCTGTATGGTCAAGATGATTTAGAGTAGATTAAACCCAGAATAATTTTCTAGCACTAAAGAACTATTTATTTTCTGGGTAGAAAAGAAAACAAACAAAAGAACTCATGCAGTCTAGGTAAACCTCATTCACCCCTATAATTTTCTTTCCTTTTACTGTTTTTATGCAGGTGCTTGTGGAATGGATAGACGTCAGAACACATACATTATGGACAAAGGCTTCAAAGGTACAGTATCTAATCCTGACGTCCCATTAGAAAGGGCTTAGCAAGAAAAAGAGTGCAGATCTGAAATGGCCAGTTCTACCAGGTACAAACTGCGCATCTCTTCCCCCACCCCCCCAAAAAATGTTAAAGACCACAGGACCTGGGGCTGCTGGGTAGCTCTGCCCAGGAGGAGCAATCATAATAATAATGATTTCATCTTTTGATTTCAGTTGCACCTGCTTAGGAAACGCTTATGGGTTTTTTATAGATGCCAACTAAATGTCTTCGGAAATGTAGAACGTCATTATCCAACCAATTAGTACAAGTTAAATTGATTATAAAATCTGAAATAAAGTCAATCTACCTGCCCCAGAGGCCTCCTGTCATTGCGCTGGTAAGGAATGCCACCCTGCACCTTCTGGCTTTCTGGGGCACAAGGAATGAAAATAATACCTAGTGTTAATATTGTACGGCACTCCACCCTCACGAGATCTCTGCCCCAGAGAAGAGAGAAGCCAGGACTAATCCCTAACACATAGGAACTGCAAGTTGGATCATCCTTCTAGGAAGTATACAGGTGAAGCCAAATATGAAAGGTCAGGTCCTGCCCCAGGCTTAGGGCCTAGGTTTAAATAACAGAAATGTGTGAAACAGGTGGCTTTGAAATTGTCACTTATTAACTATGACCAACCACCGTAAGGCACAGTTTTCTCAAATTGCAAGGTTGGGATAAGTATGCCTGTCCTATGATCTAACAAGGTTATCCTGAGTATCTAATAAAAAACACAGATCAGAAGTGTTTCTGCATATTGTAACGGGTTATACTAATGTAGTAGAGTTGTCCTTTTGTCTCTGAGGACTATTTAAGAGCCTCAGCCAAACTGAAAGAGATATGACTTGCAGCAACGATCCCAGTGGATATCCTAAACCTAGCTGTGTACCAGAATCACCTGGAAAGCTTGTTAAAAATACATTATGTTCACCCCCCAACTCCCCAAGATTCTGATGCCATAGATCTAGAGTGGGACCTTTTGTGACAAATGCCTCAGGGCATCCTTATGTAGCGTATCACCTAACACTTACAAACCCCTAAGTCTAGACTGACTCAGATTTCCCAGATTACCCTTCTGGTCTTTCAGACTTAGCCTTAGGTACACCTGAGACACCACTTTCCTAACCAAGGAGAGCTAGTCGTCTTCAACCTTTGGTGGGGTGGTTATTAGAAGTGGGGTGAGAAAAAAAAAGTGGGGTGAGCTAGGGGTGGATGGTGGTGAGAATTGTGTTCTGAACAACAGAGCAGGAAGGACAAGTCTCCACCAGCACGTGTTAGGATGTGCACAGCCCAAGAGAACGATCTGAGGACAGAAGGTCACCACCCATAGGTCACTATGCCCTTGGGATCATCATTCTGGCAATTTTTTGTTAGTTTTGACTTAAACCACCCAAATGAAAGGAAGCGCCATTACAGTAGATGAAGCTAAACAATAGAAAACAAAACTATACTGTCTTATCACTGTGACCTGGGACCTCAGTTTCTTTCTCAAGGAGGAATGGGGACTGGACAGAAACATCTCTAAGGACCTTTACAGCTCTGAGAATATGCATGACTCAAGCATGAATGAATTCAGACAGGCCCAGACACCTCAATAAATGAGCACACAACTTCCCTATGCACTTCATTGTCCTACGCACTGTGATTATAGTAGTTACTCGCAGCCATAAATGTAAAACAAAGTTAAGGACTCAGCCATGGCGTCATTCATTCCTGTTTTGTGGGATCGTATATCTGAGTGTCTGAGTGCAGGGGAGACTTGGAAGCTAGCAGCCAGGTTTCATTTCACCACTCTGGCTATAATTATCCTTTAAATTGGAGAGAAAAGATGGCTATGTAGGCAAATGTACCAACAGGTGTTTGTTAGGGACCAACACACCAGAACAAGAGGAAAATGGAACATCACAGTTAAGAGCTTTACAGAAATACTTATCAAAGACACGGAAATAAACCCCACTAACTGGCTGAACTCCCCAGATAAACATATAATAAACTAGTTTGTACCAGGAATGGAATTATTTCCTAAAACTACTGGCCCAAACCAAATTATAACCACTAAGAGTTAAGATAAAGAGTCTTAGGGCTTCCCTGGTGGCGCAGTGATTGAGAGTCCGCCTGCCGATACAGGGGACACGGGTTCGTGCCCCGGTCTGGGAAGATCCCACATGCCACGGAGGGGCTGGGCCCGTGAGCCATGGCCGCTGAGCCTGCGCGTCCGGAGCCTGTGCTCCGCAATGGGAGAGGCCACAACAGTTAGAGGCCCGTGTACCGCAAAAAAAAACCAAAAAACAAAACAAAACAAAAGAGTCTTAGTGTTCTCTGAACTCAGTGGGAAAGAGCCCTGGCCTGGGAGTTAAAAGATATGGGTTCTAAGGGGATATTCCCTGGTGGTCCAGTGGTTAGGACTTGGCACTTTTACTGCTGGGGCCCGGGTTCAATCCCTGGTCGGAGAACTAAGATCCTGCAAGCTGCACGGTGCAGCCAAACCAAAATTAAAAAAACAAAAAAACAAAAAAAAAAAACGGGCTTCCCTGGTGGCGCAGTGGCTGAGAGTCCACCTGCTGATGCAGGGGACACGGGTTCGTGCCCCGGTCCGGGAGTATCCCACATGCCACGGAGCGGCTGGGCCCGTGAGCCATGGCCACTAAGCCTGCGCGTCCGGAGCCTGTGCTCCGCAACGGGAGAGGCCACAACAGTGAGAGGCCCGCGTACCGCCAAAAAAAAAAAAAAAAATTGGGTTCTAGTCCTGGTTCTTGCTGTGTGGCACTGATTAGATCACAGTGTTGTTTTCTGAGTCTTGGTTTCTTCCTCTATTAGAAGGACAGGGTTGGGGATCCCCTGGTGGCGCAGTAATTAAGAATCCGCCTGCCAACGCCAGGGGCATGGGTTCGATCCCTGGTCTGGGAAGATCCCACATGCCTCAGAGCAACTAAGCCTGTGTGCCACAACTACTGAGCCTGTGCTCTAGAGCCTGTGCTCCGCAACAAGAGAAGCCACCGCAATGAGAAGCCCGCGCACCGCAACGAAGAGTAGCCTCCACTCACCACAACTAGAGAAAAGCCCGCGTGCAGCAAAGACCCCACACAGCCATAAATAAATAAATTTATAAAAAAAAAAGACAGGGTTGTGCAAGCACTATCTCTAAAGCCCTTTCCAGCTCTAAGCATCTAATCCAGTCAATGCTCCCTTTCCCGTTACTTACTAAAGACCTCCACTCACTGTCATCTGGAGGTTGCGCGAGATCACTCATACCGCTGTGCTAACCCCATTTTACCTCTAAACACCTTTCCATCTCTCCTTCCCCTGCTCCCCTCTCAGCAAAATTATTCCGCAACAAACTGCCTCATGTCAACACTTATCTGTCAGGCATTTCAAAGTGCTATAGAAGAATCCTCCCCACTACTCTCCATCACCTTAATGATCCTGAAATCCTGGATCCCACTGTTGCTGCCCCTTTCCCCACCTGTATGCTCCTTGCTAATCCAACCTCCAAGTCTCTCCTTGCAATAACCTTGGCTTCCCAGGTAGTCAGGAGCCCACCGACATCCTGAAAACTTTTTTCAGCCAGTGTGGGAGAAAAGGCATTGTGGCCTTCTAATAGTAGTAGTAGGCTGAGAAGACAAGAGATGGACGTTCAGTGCCTAGGTTTTCCCCAACAGTGAAATATTGGCCTTAAGTAGATGATAGTGTGAACCTGAAGGCTGGGATAAGTTCAAATCCTACTCACAAGATGGCCTTGGAAAATCATTTCCCCTCTCTCGATTTGTCACTTCCTTTATAAAATGAAGATGTTTCAATTAGTTCATTTCAGAGGCCCCTTCTGCCTCTGATAGTTATGTGGCTGTATGTGATTTGGGGAAGGTAGGAACTATATGAGAACAAATGCCAGGACATTATAGGGCTAAACCTTCAGCCTTGATGCTAATTACAGGCCTTAAAGGAGCGACTCCCCAGAGCTTGGAGAGCCTTGGTTGATGTCTCCCCTTTCTTTGCAACATGCCCAAAGTGCAAAGACTGGTATAGAGGTGGGGCTATAAAAAGATGAGGAAGTGTCCTAGAGCAGCTGGTTATTCTTCCCCTTACCATGCCCTCCCTCAGAGCAGGCAGGTGGATGACTCAGCTGGAGAAAAGAGTAGGTTCCTGAAGTATAGTTTTCCAGCTGGCCCTGCCCTTCCCCTCCCTCCTCAGAAACAGAATCCAGTTTATTCCATAATTCAACACCCTCCTACCACCACCTCCAAACACACACACGCACACACACACGCTTCTCCATCCCCTTTGGCTTTACCTCTGGCCCCTTTATGGATGATACATCTTCTCCCTGAGACTCACCCCATTCCCACAAACCCCAATTTCTCTTTTATCTATTTAGATGCATCCCCTGCTACAGAGCAAACAATTTATTTCCCCAAACTTGAAAGCAGCCGACTTTTCTGGTGGAAATAAGAGGGCCACTACTGGTTGGCTGAGGCTCTGTTAGGCACTGAGCTAGAGCTTCAAGCCTCTCCCACTGCCCTAATAATCAGTCATGGGACGTCCACAAAAAGAGCTTGGCCTTTCTCAGCTGAACTTGGCCCCACAGATAAAAGGCTTTCCTTGTTCAGGGTAAGGTGAAGCTGTTGCAGATAGTTTGCATTTAGGATATAGGACAGGCGTACAGGGTAACAAAATATGAGGGGAAAACACCTTGATTGGGTATCAGAGCAGGGAGGGGTTGTCCTAACTTAACTACTTACTAACATTAGGCAAACTTTATGAGCTTTAGTTTCCTCATTTCTAAAGTAGTAATACTAGTCCTTCCTGCCTGGCCCCCTGCACAGATGTAACAAGTGTCAGTGATCTAACTGGAGTCAGTGAAGACCAGCTACATGTGCTATAAAGCGAGCTAACACTAGTCCTCAAATTTTAGAAAATATGCAACTGAGTCAGCTGCCAACCAAAGTAAAACTGATGTGCCTGCGTGGGGAGGAGGGGAGAGGTGTTAGGGGATAGCCCTTCTTTAAGCAGTACTAGTAGTCCTCAGCTTCCACAGGAGCAGCTGAGTCATACTGCCTTACTACTTGGCTGGTAAATTCAGAGAACCCAAAATGGGACCAAGGGGCCAGCTGAGGTTCCTAGACTTAACCCCACTCCCTTGTACTAAGAAACAAAGTATTCACTAGAGGCAATTCCATGTGACTCGGGCAGGTCACGGCCTAGCACCCAGAGCCGCCTTTCCCCTATGAGAGCCTCACCAGTAGCTGGGCCAATCCAGCCTCCCTTTAGTCTCTGCTGGGACTGCTCGCTGTCTAGCAAGAATGTTTTCTCCTCCTCTCTAGGGTTCTAGGGTAGAGAGAGGCCACAATCCAAGACAGGACCCAAGACCCACATCTCTCTCTGCCTGGGGGCTAAGCTGTGATACAAAGTGCTCTGAGCCTGGTTCTGGAGCTTGCTCTAATACTGATGAGCAGGGTAACCCTGGGGAAGTCACTATACAAATCTCAGTTTCCTCATAAGCAATAAAGGGGGAGGGGAAATAATAATTACTGCTCTGCCTACACTTTTAGGAACTAATGGGTGAATGTAGTTTTGTACAAGATTGAGGAAATGTTACCTGCTAAAACAAACATAAATAACCCTATACTAACAAAAAAGTAAATCCCCTCCCAACCAGTTACCTGCTGTGGGAGAAAAGACTCCTGTGGTGGCACACATCTCAACTACTTCAGTCACGTGGAGCGCTCTGCTCTCACCGAACCAAGGTACATCCAGTAACCCCTTGAATTACACTACCACTTTCACTTTTTTACATTTTCATTAATTTCACAAGTTGGAGGCAGAAAGCATAGAAAAATAGCAGCCCCAAATGTAAATTGTGGTGGTTCTAGTGAAAGATCATCTGAGAATTTTACCATCTGCTAGCACTTATAGAAATTTAGAGCTGAGAAATAGAGAAATTTCACCATCTGCTACCACTTATAGAAATGTAGACTTCTTAGATCACTCTTGACTACGAAGCCTCTGCAACTCAGTGCTTATTTCTAGATTCCCCTGGCTGGCACAGCCTCACAGAAGGATGAGGGCCAGAGTTGCCAAATTAGAGAGTCTCCTGCTTTTTCTAGGCAAGTTCTGCCTCATTTGAAACAATCCACAGGAGGCAGTAATCTTCCCCCAAAAGGGAAAATGGCATAGAGGTTGAAAGAAGGGCTCCCGTTTCACTGTGACTCCCAGTCACAAAGAGAACCTTCTTCCTCCAGTGAGCTACAGTTACCTTGCTTCATATTTGGAAGCCAGTTTGCAACTTTTGTACCCTAATACACCCTGAAGTCTTGGGGATGATGCACCTGAGAGACTACAGGAGAAGCAGCATGAGTTCTCCTAGTATCAGAGAAAGATACTGCTAAAATAGATTTCAGTTAGCATTCCTGAGAACTGGAGTAACTGACCCCAGAAGATATACTGCAGGCTTACTAGAAAACAGGAACTTTCCAAAGCCTAGCTTGAGACCCAGGTGCTTTTTAAACCTCTATTACACTTCAGTCTGCCCCACCTCTGATCACGAGCTTCTCGAGAGCAGGGATACTACCTGTTTACTGCCTAAAGGTTGCCAAATTGCTGGCACTTGTGCCAAATCAC